GTGCTGGGAATCCTCAGGAGAGCTGGGGGATGGAATGGGGAAAGGTAACTGAGGGTTCCTGTGAGGTACAGACAGGGGTCTGGCCTCCACAGAGCCCAGTGGAGAGTGGTCAGGTTAGATTTCACTTTTTAAAAAAAGATTTTATTTAAATTATTAATGCATACAAGAGCTGGGGTGTAGGCCAAACTTGTGGAGTGGAAGTGGGCATGGTGGTGAAAGGCTTTACCAGAGACAGAATGGGGATCTGTTGAAATTCACTGCTGAGGGGAGCAAGCGGGAGAGACAGGAGAGGTCTGCTACATCTAGACTTCATTTGTATATATAAATGTAAAATTACAATGATGATAAGTATTACAAAAAAAGAAAGTGGGACAAATAGCTAAAAGGTTGTATGTAAAGGTTAACTGTTCTGGTTAGGAAGGTCAGAGAGGGCATCCGTAAGGAAGGACGGCTCCTGGCATGACACGTAGACCTTAACTAAGTTGAGTGAACTATTGATAGCATGTGTTCTTGATACGGGAAAAGAGAATGGAAAATGTCCTAAGCTGAGAAGCAGCATGGCCTGACATGGTCAGTGAAGCTGAAATTTCAGAGGAGGTGGGGTAATATGACCGGAAGAAAAAGATAATTCTCCATGTGGTGAAACATGGGTTGGGTGTGGATAGTCTATTTGGTGACTGCACTGCTGCACAGGATGGACAATAGCTAGTAATACTACTTATAATTTCAATGAAAATGGAAATAACTCCATAATGCTAATCAATAATGGACTGGTTTAATAAATTATAGCAAGTAAAGATAACAGGCTGCTATTCCACTGGAAAACGGAACTAGCAATGCAACATGACTTACAGAAGCCATTCATGTGACCACTAGCACATACTAAATGGGAATCTACTCTCTATTCCTGGCACTAGGGATCCTCAGGAGAGCTGGGAGGTAACCTGGGGGCAGAGATAAGCTATGTGAAAATATACTACTATGCATATCTCTCCAGGATATACTGTTGAACAAAAAAAGCAACAGAGGAAACTGCGTACCTGCGTTGTTCATATGCTGTTGTTTCTCTGAAAGAGGCAGGAGAGGTCTAAGTATCTCTCTCTATATATATATACATCAATGGAAATAACTACAAGTAATACCCTTAATGATAAAAAAATACTAATCACTTTGGAAGATGTTATTGGATGAACTAATTATTACTAAAATTATGTAAATAAAGAGAAATAATTGTATTTTTATCTTTTCTATTCTTGTACTTAGGTTAAACAAGTGACAATAATATTTCCCCTAATAGTAGTCTTCCAACTTTCAAATGAAGAAATAATAATAGGATTATAATATTATTTCCAACTATTAATGAATTTAATGGATCTGATAATGATCATCATGTCTGTTAAGATAACAATGAAAGAACATAAGATCATCAAGCTGTATATTTGTGGAAAATAAACAAATAAAAATCCCTGTAGTTTAAATCGAACTACTGTTATGCAGAAAATTCAAGATTTAGAAGACCATGCATGCTAAGAAACACAGTGGGGATGCAAAGCACAAAAATTAGACTTTTGAAACTGCAGAGCAAATGTTTCTTATACTATTATTTTAAAAAGGTTTGAAATTTCCCTTAGTAAAATGCTAGAGAATAATAAAAATAGGAAAACACATCTTATTTGTTGAGTGCTTATTATTTAAACACTCATGCTGTATGTGAAGTAAGTGAGAAATGAGGAAATCATAAGGTTTAACCATAAGATAGTTAAGCATATAAATTATGGTATGGGCTTCAAAAGCAGATAATCTGATTTCAACAACCTAGTTTCTAACCCATACTCTACTACCTCTCAAGATGATAGTGTCACCTCTCAAGATAATGGAGAGAAGGGGATGAATTGAAGACACACTACAGAGGTGAAATTGACCTTACGCCAAATGAATTGCTCCTAGAACTAAAAGTCAGGAAGGAGTCCAAGATACTCGTCCATAAGATCTCTGGCTTGTTTTATAGGATAGATGGGGATTTTGTTAGCTGAAATAGGAAAGGTGAAAAAGGATCAGGGATGGACAGCAAAGAGGGTTGGGGTCTGAAACATGTTGAATTTGAAATGCCTCAGGGACATCGAGGCAGTGACAAGTGACAGTAGGCAATACAGATATGATCACTTTTCCCTTTCCTCCTCCTCCTAAGAATGAGGATGGTTGGGGCAAGAGTCTACTTTTCTAGTTTTCAGTGTCAATTCTTATTGCAGAGATGTCAGTAGTTTTATCTAAGCTGATGTACTTACAAATTTTACAAGGGTGTTTTTACTTCATTGTCTTGAGAAAGTGGGAGAAAACAGGTCAATTCATCAACCATGCCTTAAATGCTTCCCATGTTGCAAGTGCTAGTTTTAGGTACTGATACTTTATATCATATACTGTAGACAATTACTTTCACAGTTATATATTATTCCACTATACAGTTGGAAGAGACTGAAGATGAAAACGAATAAATCATTTGGCCCAAAGTTAGAAGCTGCACGGTAGCAGTCAACATTTCTAGTTTATGTTCTCCCAATATATCTGTTTCTCAAAGTGTGGGTGGTGACTTTGGTAGTTCGCCATCATGGCATTTAGTCACACTGACTCACACAGTAGGAAAGCTCTTCTGTTGTTATTTTCATCCAAACTTCTGTTATGACATGGAGAACAACTCTGAGGTGCTAGTATACCTTTAACACCTCTCGAAACACTTGCTAATCTTCTAGCTTAACTTTGGGTACACTTCAGGCTCAAAGACTTAAGCAAACAGAAACAGCATGTGGCAGGAATTTAATCACACACTGTTATTTTCATTGTTTATTCTTTTTTAAAAAAATATTTATTTATTCACACAGAACTGGGGTGCTGGTCAAAGGTACAGGAGCAGTGAGAGGATTCACCAGCAACAGAGTGGGTAGCAGAATAGGCAGAATGACAAAGTACACTGCTGAGGGGAGCAGCAGGTGGTCAGGAGAGGTCTGCTGCACCATGTGGGTCACTTCTGGGGCCGGGGATGAACTAGGACTGAAGCTGCCACAGTGTACTTGCAGTGCTGCGCTTTAAACCCTTTGTACCACCAGGGAGGGCCCTTCATTGTTTATTCTTCAGGATATTCTCTATGTGCAATTGATAGTAGCTTTTGCACATTTATACATCAATAAAGAACTTCATAAAAGTTAGAGCTGAAGATAACTGACATAAATGTAAGTAACAGCGTTTCAGAGAAAATGAGGGAAAAGTCACTCAAAGAGGCTGGGCTCCAAGAGCTGACCTTTGGAAAACAGTGTTCCTCAACCTATCTTCCTCACCTTAAGGGTGTTGGTGGTAGCCTTACCTTTCTCCAGCAACCCAATGCCTTCTTTTCTTTTCTTTTTTTTTTAAGATTTATTTATTTATTCATACAGAACCAGGGTACAGTACAGAGATGCGGAAGGTGAGAGACTTCACCAGAGACCGAGTGGACAGCAGAACAGGCAGATTGACGAAGTACACTGCTGGGGGGAGCAACAGGCCGGCGGGTCAGGAGAGGTCTGACTGCCTCGCCATGTGGATCTCCTCTGGGGCAGGCGGGGATGGAACTCATGGATAGAACTCATACAGAGTGGCTTTTGATTCTTAGTACAGTGCTTTAACCCACTGCGCCACCAGGGAGGGCCCCAATGCCTTCTTTTCAAAAAAGAAGTCCTATTACCATCTTACTTGGGGACTTTGTCACTTTTTACTGATGAGCAGAACTCACCAAGTGCTATGGGCGAGACATCTTTACTTCCCATTCACTGGCTGGCAGTTAGGACAGAGCGCTAGCCTTTGGCTGCCCACTCTGTCCCCCATGTCAGGGATTCAGGAAAGAGCTGCAAGCAGAGTACATCACTGGTAAGTCAGGGGGTTAACAGCTAAGCCAGTGGGCTATTTTGGAAATCTTAGCATATTAAAGTAATTGGCTATTATTAACATGTATTTCAGTATTTAAATTATATCGATTATGCTAATGCCCACCTAGTCTTTTATGATGATTTACACATTTTGTTTCTTCACCACTATCATCCCTTTCCTGGGACAGAAGCTGCATGTTTGTGGGAAATGGTTGTAGATGGGCTGCTTTTAAACATTTTTATGAGTTGTCCTAAACACACACAAGGGCAGTAAAAATTCCTTATACTACATGTATTTTAAAAGACATCATCATCAGGTAAGATAATTTTGCTCATGTGTTCCCCAAGGTATTGAAAATTACATTATAGTCACTGTAATCCTGCTGGGTAGAGGCAGAATATTCTCTTTATTCTTTGTTATGCCTAATACTATCTGTTCAGCATATTAAGGAAAGAAATCTGTATCTAGAATAATGCAGCTGTATTCTTCTCATTTCCCATAAGCGCCACAAAGCCAGTACTTTTCATCATTGGGCCTTGCAAAATAGGGGTCAAAGCCTGAAGAACAGAAGGCTTAGGTTTTGCATCTCTGACGTATTCTTTAAGTAAAGGTGGTGAAAATGTCTCCCTAAATTCACAAGGTCAAAGAAAGTCAGGTTCGTCTTCCTGGGCGGGGTACCCTCAGTAGCACTTCTGCTGTAGCTATCATGTCTCCTGAAACCTGGCTTCTTCCAAGACTAGGTACCAGGCAATGGCCTGACTCGGGCAGCTCAGGCAAGGTAAACACCCCCACTCAGATAGAGGACACCCACACCATTCTGCACCAGAGTGGATGTAGAGCAAGCAGTGTGTGTTTGGAGACTGCAGGTTGGGACTATTTTCCCCTGCACGGCAGCAGCACCGTCGTTAGATCCCCTCAGCCCCTAGACTCACAGCCCTGCCCAGACCATTGTCCGCACACCTCGTCCTTCCAGCTTCCGGGCCGCGGGCGAGATGATTTGCTGCAGATGACATCAGCTCTGGGCCAACGGCTGTAAGAGCGAAGGCAGCCACCGCGTGAGGCTGTGCCGGGTGGTCCTTTCCTCCTCCTCCCCAGCTTCCAGCCTAGTCCCCATATAAAAGCGCCACCGCCTCCCCGCCCTCTCTCACTCCCCGCTCCTCTCCGTTGCGCGCTCTCGGAGAGGGCGGAGGGGAAGGTGGCGCGCAGCGCCTGGAGGAGGGGGGACGCAGGGGGCGGAGCGGAGACAGCACCTTCGGAGATAATCCTTTCTCCTGCCGCAGAGGAGAGCAGCGGCCGGAGCGGGACACTTCGCCGAGGCATAGAGGGCCGGCAGGATGGCGACCGTGGTGGTGGAAGCCGCCGAGCCGGAGCCGTCCGACAGCATCGCCAACCCGGTGGCGTCTACTTCGCCTAGCCTGTCGCACCGCTTCCTCGACAGCAAGTTCTACTTGCTGGTGGTCGTCGGTGAGATAGTGACTGAGGAGCACCTGCGGCGCGCTATCGGCAACATCGAGCTGGGTAAGAGGCCCCGAGACCCCAAGGGACGTGCTGGGGGAGACGCGCAAATGCGACCCCACCCAGGGCGCGGCGGCCACCGTCTCGCCCCGCACCCACACCTCTTCCTCTTTGCCGCACTCCGTCCGGACTTTTCTGTTCTGGGCTATTTCCGTAGAATAATGCGATTTACTAGATTTAACACCCAATGGGACAGTCTCTTCTAACGTTGAGTTATCTGTCACCAAGCTGGGTCCTCCGATCGGAGCTGGTCACAGCCTCTTCCGCTAAATGAAATGCAGGTGTCAGAGGAGCAAAGGTCCTAATAGAGCCTCAACCGCAGGAAGGAAAGTGGCGGGGGGATGGGGATGGACCTGATGCAACCATTCCTTTCAGGTCCCTCTTTTCCCCCGCAAAATACTGGCACCTACCTCCCCACCCCTGCCGGCTGAGACACAGTGCTGCCAAGGTCCGCGTGGGAATCATCCTCACTACGGCCACTTCAATCCCCAAGAAATGCCTTTTTCTGGCTTACAACATCCCGATCTTTTTTCTTTCCTCGGAATGACTAGGCTAGTCCTAGGGCCACACCCGCTCCACCCCCCAAGTCCCCCTCCCCCTCAGGACGCAGAGATGGAGAACCGCCTGAGCTCGGTTCCCAGACGGCGGCCGCCTCGCTACCGCCCTTGGGGCCTTGGCTGCGCTTTCTGAAAGGACAATGGAACCCCCAAGTTGCGGGCTGGGGCTTTCTTTTAAAAGTCCCAGCCTTGGGAGTAAAGGCTTGGGGAAAGTAGGGGGTCGGCGGGCTAGGGCCGCGCCTCGCCCGCTGCGTTCTGTAGGAGCGCAGAGGCCGAATAGCGGTTCTCGGGGAACACTGGGCGGGGCCGTGAGGGTCCGGCGGGAGCGGCCTGGGGCGCGGACCGACCGGCTCCCTTTCCCCACCCGGGTGCCGCAGTGCCCCCACACACCCGCCCGCCGCACCTCACTGCGGCGCCCCTATTGGGGCCCAGTGTGCGCCCCGCCGTGGCCTCGGATTTGGGGAGCTGCATGTCTCCACCTATCCTTGTGCCCGGCTTTGTTGCGCGCGAGGTTCCCCGGTGGGTAGCTCTGGCCTTTGCCTTTCCTTTCACCCCCGGCGACCCGGCCCTCCCCGCGCCCCGGACAGAGGTCGCCGGGCCCCTCCGCAGCCCCAGCCTGCGCTCCCGTCCCGCCCGGCAGTCCCGCGGCGGCTCAGCCGGGAGACACCGGCTGGTGGGCGTGGTGCAGTCCGCACTGCGGTCTCTACGGCAGCCCGAGGCGGACAAAGGGCGTTCACGTAGCCTTCGCTCCCGCTCCCGTAGCCCGCCCCCCGAAGTAGAGGGCGAAAGAAAAACCTTATTTTGGATGAAAAAAAATTAAACGCCTGTCTTTTCTCTCTGCGTTTGGGAACGACCACTTGTCCCTAGAACAAAAGGCTGTAGGTGGGGACTGGAGTTACAGACCTGGTTCTTTTGTTTAACTTTAAAGCACTGATTTTCCTTTTCAGCTGAAATAAAATGTGAGTTATTTTATTCGCAAAAATTCAAGAAATAGAGGTTTCAATTGTGAAATGCCAATAACCCTTTCTTTTAAAACTAGAGGCCTTTAGCCTGACCTGTTCTAATTTAGTTTCTTTGCACATTGTCGCCTTGGAAAATTTCACACGTATTGACTTTGGGTGTGGCTGCTGTAGGAATCAATGACTTTGGATTAAATATACATATTATATATATATACATATATATATTAGGAATTCATAATACACTAGAAAGTGCTTTTTGTATCTGTAGCATTCTCATAACCATGAACCCCATTTTAGAGATGGGGGCACAGAGAACCTGGACGGATAAGGCGACCAGTTCAAGGTCACACCATTCATAAGTGACAGAAGTGCCAGCACTGCAGCATCACTGGCTTTCTGGCCCTGTAACGATGTTAGTGCAGGACAGGCTAAGATCAGAGGAACATCAAACACAGCAATTTTCAGAGCCTGCCTTTGTACAGATATCCATTTGTGGGCAGCGCCCCATGCAGGGAGATGATCAGCAGCCACCTTCGCCCATAATTATCTTCCTGCTTTGTTACTCTGCTGATCATCCTTTTAGTTCCCTATTCCTCAGGGGGTTTATTCAGCTGCTTCTGATTCAGGATAACATGGATGCATCCGAGTGTTGCTGCAAAGTGCTCTCTGCTAACACTGAATGGGAAAGTTCAGATATTTCTTCTTTTTTAAAATTAAAAATAAATACTGAAATATTACATAGAAAGGAAAAGGCACTGATGAAAAGACGAGGAGCTTGGTGAATTTTCACAAGATGAACATACCTGTGTCTGCCTGATTAAGAAACAGTTCATTACTAGAATCCCAGAAACCCACTCATGTTCCCTTGTCAATCACCATGCCTTCCTGATCTTTAATTCCCTAATGTGGTCAGGTTTCTGCACAGATCTCCGAAATGGCTGTATTGATCCCATTAAGAATCAGCCTAGTGAGTGAGCAGAGCCATTTCCTTATGCACAGTAACAGATGCTGCAGTTTCCTCTGGAGATTGCTCTCCTGGGTCCTGAGGTTCTCTGCGCCAGCTCTAGCTGCAGGCCATTCAGTGCTAAGTGAAAGTACCACTCCCTGGCCTTCAGACCATCTGAGCTAGGACTTAGCAACAGGGCTGGCCACTGAGTTTCCCTCTGCCTGACCTGCTGCCGCCTCAGCCTTCAGGGATGAGCTGGCCTCCTCCAGAGGTCACTCTGGTACCACTGCTGTTGCTGCTGGTGCCTGTGGGCCATTTTGTGTGAAGCAAGATGGAAGCTCTAGGGGGTTGGCTCTGATTGCAGAGCTGGGAAAGCAGCTCCGCATCTATTATTCTTGCTTCCCTCCCTTCTGAACTGAAACTCTGTGGCTTTGGAGACCCTGGTCACTTGAATATTTGCAATCCAAATACCCAGGGCTCTTTGGGAAGCCTAGAAAATAAATCTGTAGGAGGATGTCAGTAATGCAGTATACTTACATGCCTGACACATTCCAATATGGATGCTTAATAAATGCTTCTTGAAACCAAGGAAGAATGATGGTCATTCTTGACTGTATTCAAAAATATTCATGTAAGGTTTGGTCGTTTCACTCAAATTTCAAGCAAAAGTTTTTCCTTTTGCTTTATGTAATTAGTTATACAGGACTTGATGTGAAACCACTGTTGTTACCCCCATCTGCTACTCCTTGGTATCTCCTCTGTTTTGTTTTCTTTTTAAAGATTTATTTATTTATTCATACAGAACTGGGGTACAGGCCAGAGATGTGGAGGGTGAGAGGATTCACCAGGAACAGAGTGGGGAGCAGAACAGGCAGATCGATGAAGTACACTGCTGAGGGGAGCAGCGGGCGGGTCAGGAGAGGTCTGCCACGCCATGTGGTCACCTCCCATGCAGGCGGGGATCGAGCTCATGCGGAAGTGGTTCTAGCTTCTTAGTGCAGTGCTTTAACCCGCTGCGCCACCAGGGAGGGCCAGTACCTCTTCTGTTTAACTCTTACTGTGAACTTGACAGACATTAACTTTTTTTTAGCAGAGTTGTACCTTCTTAAATTTATTTTAGGACCTGGATTACATCCATTTATGCCTTGAAAATGGAATTCTAGACTGTTGTGAAAGGAGTTTTTATCATGGCTTTATTAAAAAAACAACAACATGTAATGATTACTAAGTGTCAGTATGATACTTTCAATGACTGCCTAAGAGTATTCACTGTCCTCTCCTTAATGTTGGAAATCAGCAGGATCTCCTCAAAGACAGATGTGTGTAACATCTCTGGCCCTGGAGTTTCAGACAAGCTTAGCGGATTACATTGTACCTTTCTGTTGTCACTTTATCGAATGCCTTCAGTCAAAGATGGCTATAAGAACCTAGGAAAGGTTTTAATAGGGGGAAGAAACTTCAACAAAATGGTGGGAGTTAAAAGAAGTGTTGGTTAGTGTTAAAATTTATCATATTCATCTTTATTTTTCAAAGTCAAAAGACAGATGGATTTCTGCTTGCACCGCTTAATTGGCATTATCTACTAGAGTTCTGGATCCATGCTGAAATATAAGCCAGTTCCCAGACTTAAGGTCATTGAATTGCTGATTCATTGTTAATCTTCTCTAAGGATTTACTTAAAAAAAAAAAATCTAACTTTTATGTCAGTGAGTAGTGATTAGATATCACTTCTTTTGTTTGTTTCTACTATGAACCAGCCCAAAAACCTAAATTATGTATCATCAGTGCTTTGCAATGAAGAGCTATGCATGTAAGGTATTTGTTTTACACAAAGCTATGTATTGTGAATTTATCAAGTTGTTGTCTTATCAAAAAGGAATAAAAAGCAAATTGAAGGTTGTTGTTAGGTCAAGGGAAAAAAATAGAGGAGTCTTATTTTTTCTTGAGAAATAATCTTTTTTTTAAATAAATCCTTCTTGAATTTGACATTCCTTTGTTTTAGTTCTGTTTCTTATAGTTTTAATTTGACTTTAACTCACTTTTCAGCAGTTTAACAAATAGAGTCTTATGGGTATAGGTTAACCATTTAGGCACTTGCAAAAAATTTTCAAAAGCCTAGTTTCACAGGGACCAAATGAAGCACATAGAAGAAAATCAATATGTCAAAGATTCAAGTAACTGCCATTAGAACTTCTGTGCCGTTTCAACACGCAACACATGGCCATGTCTCTGCTTTCTTCTATTTATTGTCTCTCTTAGGAATATAGATTTTAGCCTTTAAAGAGGAGGTGCTTTTATTTTTCATTTTGGTTTCCTTAAACTACCCTGCAAAATGCTTGCTTGAGCTTAGTGAGCCCTCACCTGTAGACAGTAGGGAGCCTCTCTTCCTTACTGCCCACTTGTCATGATGACACACCCACTTCTCTCTTTGTTCATCTGTAAACTTCACATGCACTGTAGTAGGCCTCTACACACTGATACACCCTGCGATCAAAACCCGAAGACGGAAAGATCCTTTGTTGGCCATTAACTGGAAAAAAGGAAAAAAGGGTCACCAGAGAGATCACTTATTACCACAACTGGGCTACCCCCCAGATGAGGCAGGATACCCAGTGGGTATCTCAGGATACCCACTTCCCAGGGGCCCATGGGTTGAACAAGGGAGGTTCATTTCCAGCTGATGGCATTGTTCTACACCCAACTGCATACGTCACCTAAGGGCACAATCTCCATAGACTACAGGGGAGAAACAAGGCCTTTGGGGAAAGATTGATGAACATATTTTGGGGGGATAATCAGAAAAAGGAATAGAGACTTACATGTTTTCCGTAGGCCCCATCAGAGACCAGGATGACCTGTTTCTGAAACACTCTTCAGAATTTCTTAACAGAATTTCTACCCCAGCCATGAACTGAGGGAGGGAAAAATGTAGGCAGGACCAAAGAAGATCATTTTTTTTCTATGGAGAGATACATAAGCCTACTAAATGCAATATCAACCTTCATTGAGAAATATTGTTTCCCTTACCGATAATCATCCAGTAGAAGGTACAAGTAATTACAAAGTATTTTATTTCTAAAATGATACAGATAGTGGCTTAGCTCCAAAACTTTCCTTTCCAACTAAAATAACCAGTAAGTCCATTGTAACCTTTATTTTATAAGTGTTAGTAGTGATTATACATTATTAAGAAATAATTTCACTGGAAATTGCTCTCTTGAAAAGAGAACCATAGGACTTTCATTTCATTAAGTGTATAAATGAGAAGTATTTTTTTTATCAGCTGTTTACTAGTGTGACTTAAAAATTACTAGGTTTTTTCTTTTCTTTTCTTTCTTT